ACGACAACATGCTGCAACCACCAGAACTGGTATCACAACTCATAGTGAAAATCAAAAGATTTACTCTCAAATTAAGTAGTTACAACATCGAGCAATCGTCAAGCACATACACCATCACAAAAGTCACAGAACCTGATTCACAAAGCATTCAAACATTTGAGGACATTTCTGCAAAGGTACAACTTATATGTCTTTTTTCCAAGCCATTTCCATCAACATGCTAATAAATTTGCAATGCATAAAACAAACGGGCCAAAACTTGAAATTCAGCCTGTTTGACCGACCCATGCCAAGTTCTAATTATTCTTTACTTTTAAACTTTCTATTTGAAAATAAAAAATAGTGAAAGAAAAGAGACGACTACAATTCGCCATTTGCACATCACTTATACGGGAATAAAACCATAGAAATTCAAAAGGAACTGAAAATGTATAGGATCGTTTTAATGTTTAAAATAACCAAATAGATCTTTATGTTTAGTTTTTTACTAACAAATACCAAACGATTCCCTATAAAATACACTATAATTTGATCATTATGATGTCAAATAATTATAAAAATATATATTTGAAATGATAAAAATTGGACTAATTGGGTTGGTCGAGGTTGAACCATTGAATAACTTTAAAATACATTATATTTTAGTCACTAAGATATAAAATAATAGCATAATATATATTATGCCAGAGAAAATAGTTTGTTTTAGAATGACAAACCAATGATGTTCATTTGTTTTACTTGATGGCCAAATCCCATGTAGGTCAGGCCCATTCAACTCTTTTATTTTATGGTTAGCGGTTAGCCCAATAGATATCATGCATTAGTTTATTGTTAAATTTTGTATTTTTAGCAATAAAAAGAAGTATTATTTTTGCATTTTCATATATATTTTATCACCACAGAGAAATAAAAGGGCTTAAAGAAAAAAATTGCTACTCCTGGACCCGTTCAAATCCGCATCTGTACGGTAAGTGGCCCGTTCCACAAAGGAAAGAGAAAAAAATTGACACTCCCTATTCTACCCTTCCTACAAACGCTCCTGGAGCAGGGAATTTGAAATTGGGGAAAGGTTTTTTCCTCCCAGCTATTATATGTTTTTAATTTAAAAAGATACAACAAATGTATTCGGTGTGATTGGTTATGATCCTTGCTTTTCTTTAAAATGGTCATGGTATTCGGTGTGATTGCAGGAAATTTGAAATGGGGCTCTCGTTTTTCCCTTCGGTGTATTATATTATGTGTAGATAAAAATATCATGTGTTTTGGTTAATTAATAAGTGGACGTGTTGTTCTCATGTTGGGTTCTCATTAGGTTAATTTGCCAATTCATGGCAGGAGAGAATGCTACGTGTGTTCATAAGGGTTAATTATGACTTGGGATTAATGCTTAGTGCAAGATGACGTGTCTGTGTGTGCAAAAGGGAAGGATCAAATTACATGAATTAATTGGACAAGCAACTCACGTCAATGGAAGGAAAGGGAGGATTCCAATTCCACCCAAGGTAGAAGAAGGGAGCAGACCAATTGAGTAACCTTGTGGTGTGGTGCTATAACCTCATTCATATCCTAATAAGAATATGTCACATTAGCGCCTCCTTCTCTCTCCACGAAAAGTTTTTAATTTACCTTCCCTCAATTTTTAACGAACGATTTCTCACTCGTTTTAACTCGTAATTTTTTTTATGCACAGTTAGATCAGATTAATTATGTTCTTCAAAATGACATCCACTTTGATATTTTTTGGAACAAAAATATTTTTCAGTTATTACCAGTCTATACCATATGGTATTGACTGATATTAAATAAGAGCATACCATATGGTATGAAAAATACCACCACATAACAGGGTGGTATATTATGGTATGGAGTTGGTAACGAGAAGTATGAAATTTTTTCACCTAGAATATTTGAAATCCAATAGATCATATGATTAAATCGTTCCTTCTGTGCAAAATTTTCAAAAACGACTAAAAAATGAAGGAGATACCATATGGTACGGAGTTGAAAACGAGAGGTATGCAATTTTTTTCTTAAAAAATATTGAAAATGGATGTCATTTTGTAGAGCACAGCGAACTCGTTCCATCTGTGCTAAAAAAATTAAAATCCGAGTTAGAATGAAGAAGATATGATCCAATCAAGAAAACTAGGGAAAATAAATTCATTTAATTCTCCACCCTTAGATCTAAAACCACTTAAAAGAAGGATCCAGATTTGGTTACTCATAGTTATGCACCCTAATGTTATGCACCCTATCTTGAGCCGTAGAAGAAGGACGCGCGCCAGCTGTAGAGTCTGTGCTTTTTGTTGAAAATAGTTGTTAATTGCTTTATTTTTAATATTTAGTCTTTTTAAATTAGTATTATATTTCGTAGTTAGTTTGAGATTTGTTTTCATATTCTTTTTAGGTTGGATTTATGTTTTTATGACCTCTATAAATAGAGGATGTAACCGCTACGAATTTTTTACCCAATATTCTAGTTTTCAGCAATCAAATATAAGTGAGTTTGTGTGAGTTCAATTGTGAACGTTTTTGCTTAATTTCTCCTTCGAGGATTTGGGATAATTGAGTGGTCTCTTATCAACTAGAGAACGCGTCTAGTTGTGACGAGCTTCGACGATATCGGTTGGTCTCTTCCACAAGTTTAAAATTGTTTGGAAGGTTTCATATACCTTCTGGCCCTTCTCACGAGTTCGGATTTGTTTGATCGATTCCACAAGTATCTTTATTTTCGTGTTATTCAAGAAAGAAGAAAACCCCTAAATAGTTCGACGTTGTGCAATTCTGATTTTGGTCCAAGTTTGGGAGGATTCTCGAATTAGTGATATATCAAGTGGTATCAGATCACACAACCCCCGCACACTTGAGCAACACATTGTCCTTAATGTGGGAGTTTCATAAGAGAAGATCATGAAGGTTACCATAGGTTTGGTTGTGGGTTGGTGAAGGTATACAAGTGTGTGTCTTTGTCTTGCTGGTGGTTTTCACAACGATAAAGCGCATAAAGAAGAGAGAAAGACGATTAAGAGTTATAGGTACGATAGATATATAAGTACGAATACTACTAGTGCTAGAATATTTAAAGTACGAAAATTAAAACGAAAATAAAACAATGACTAAACATTGTTTTAATTTAAATAAAAGAAAAGCAAAAAAAAAAAAAAAGAAAAGATAGAACTTAGGCCCTGGATGCCTAGTACTCAATCCTCCTCAGAGAGTTCATCTTCTTCTTCTTGGAGTGGTGCAAGGGGACTGGAGCGATCAAGTTGGGGTGTTACACCTTCTATTGGAATGTTCATCTTCTTCATAATAGCATGGATGCACACCATGATGTGGAGTCGCGCTTCCTTCTCCTTTTCTTGATTGTGAAGAATCTCTGCTATCATTGCTTCAACTAGGTAGTCTCTTGCGTTTTTAGTGGTGGGGGAACTGGTTGAGAAGTGGGTATAGGCGCCTCTCATCCCTCATAAATGCTCTCCACTTGATCTTCCTCGGTTGTAAGTCCTCTTCGTTTTCTTGCCACCATAGCTTCCGGAAGACGGAACACAGTACCCTCCATATCTAACGTGTTAGTAGTTGGAAATGGAAGTCTCCGTACTCCCCAATTGACATCGTCATTCATATGTAGAACTTTGATTTTCGACTTCAAAACTTCAAAGGATATAGGAGTGGTCCTACTATCCAACCGGAATTGCACGGCCCCAAAGTCGACTTGGAAATACTTGGCTAGATGAGTGACAAAAAATCCTCCATAAAGGGCGGCGAGTTGATGGTCCGTTTCATAACGCTTGAAGATTGACAAGATATCCAAAACGAGATGAAGAGATGGAGTTAGTTGCATACCATGGAAGAAGTGACGTCTCGGGCAGTCAAATTGCTTTTGCTACGGTTCTTTTCACCCACGAACCTAGCAATCACGTGGTGGATGAGCCGTCACTCCGATTTCATCTCACTAGCTTCCGATAGCTTGACATCCCACGGTTGACTGTCGGACCTCTTGACTTTGGATTCATAGAAGGATTTGAAACATGGGAAATCGGATTCCCTTGTCAAGGTAGCAAAAGTGTCTGGTGAGTAGACGAAATCCGTCGGGTAAATATCCATGGCTTTTGTAAATTCCCATATCGACAGTTGGCTATGCTCTCCTCCTAGTTGAAAATGGATGTTGTCTTCAAGGTCGGCAAAACCTCTCATATCTTGAATGGTAAGAGTACTAATGAACTCCAAAACAAGTACCGATAAATGTTTTCTTGAACGGATAGCAAATTAAGTTATTCTGACTTCTGAATCTTGGATCGGATTGTATCCTCAACCCCAAGTTGTGCGAAAAGTATCCAGTTGAGACATGTACTCTTTCCTAGAGGAAGTCATTGAAGCCACAGAAGTTTGGTCTTAAATTGCTTGGGGACATGTTCCAAGAAGTAGTGAGTGATGTGCTCCCGACATTGGCTTGATTATATTGGTGAATTTCCCTTGATAGATGTGGGAGAAGTGATAGCGGATGTGGTTCTTCAAAAACTACTTCCTATGAAGGGGACTTTCTTGTCTTCTTCCGCAAGCCTTGTCGAGGACGAGAGGTACGAGAAGAGGAACTCTCACCCGAGCCATTCACTTAGTGTTTTATATTATCCTTCAAAACAAGTAGTACACAATGCACAAACCATCAATCTTAGCATCACATATCATAAGGATAATTTTCAATGAACTAACATAAAGAAGTGGGAAAGTGTACCTTATGTATCTTACGGGGGAGTATTGGACCGGGAGAATGGGCTTACGTCACAGCCCACGTCGTAACATGAAGCCCATGCAACCTCATCCTCTTCCGCTGCGTGCATGGTTCACGTGTTTGGGGAGAACACCAATTCTTATGTAACCCTAACTACCTGTGGAAAGGGTATATATGATCATTGTATGCGGCTTGTGCCGCTTATAAAAACAGAAGCAATAACATCAGTAGCCGGAGAGCTTCCCACTCTCCCATGAATTAGTCCCGACTCGTCGAGAATACTACGTTAAATCTTCTGTCTCAACATTACTTTCTGCGATTGCTTGTCATATTTTACATAGGGTAATGAAAAGCAATTCAGAAATGTCCCCTTTGATCACCGATTGTATTAGTTTCAATTCCGTGCCTTAGGCTTTCGCCATGTGCCAGGTGACTTGTTCACACATCTCTCTCTGCCACCACTGAAGATCGAGTTCTTCCAACACAACAATAAAAGATGATCACGATAACCACCTTTCCAGACAGCTAAACTGATCAATAAAAATGTCTGCTATAATACCCGGATGCATTACATAATACATAGTGGTACACTTAAGCAAATAGCAAAATTCAGAAAGAAAGAGTGCTGTGGCGAAATGGAGGAATCATCCATCACTGGTCCATGTGAATGCCAGAATCACCAGTGTCAGCACCGAGAAAACAGTCACACCAGAGAAAGTCAACATCAACCTGCTCAACCCTTTCTCCTCCCCTCCTTCCTCATCCCCCATTTCAACCTCATTCAGAAGCTCCCTCACTTTTTCCATGTCGGAGTCCTTTGCGGCTTGGATCAGCCTACCTTGCACCTTCTCCAGCCTCGCAACACGTCTGCCACTTTTGCGAGGTGGCCATACAAAACCTGTCACCCTCCATAGAAGGACACCAACGTAAATTGCCACCACGCAGTCGACCGTGTAGTGGTGGCGCTCTCGTACTTCTCGTTGTGCACTGTGGAGCACGAGCATCCATATGAAAGCTGATGTAAATCCTCCATATGCTTCCTGCAAAACAGGATAGAGCAAATGTGAAATAATTTCAGCTTTTTAGAGGTTGTTTGGATGGTGGATTTGGGAGAGTGGAATTGGCCCCCAAATCTATCTCAGGAGAGATTTGAGCCCCAAATTTCAGTCTTAATGTAAACATAAGATGAGTTGTTCTTAATGGAAGTTACCGTCCAAGCCATAGCAGTTAGAACTGAAACAAGCATGTGCCCGCTGAAGATAAGGTCATTACAACCACCACCGGCTTTCGTCAGTAAACCGTACCACGTCGATCTTTCTCCGCTAATTGGTCGTAAGAAATCTATGAGGAAGCTCATTCTGCCCCAATTTGGTTGATAATCTGAAGGATATTCCGGTATCTCAGCTGCCCAAATCAAAGAGCAGTGGATGATTAGTAGCTTTTTAAACAGGAGAATATGATATACAATGCAGAAGATGGCTTTACCATAAGCCCAATCAGATTGCAATATCTGTCGTATAGAATTAGGATCAGAGGCATAAGGGGTGTAGTATTTTTGAAGCCATGAATGAGGGTATGGAGGGACTTGAAAACGAGATGCAGCACACCAGGGTCGAGCTGATGGAAGAATTGTTGATACGAACGTCATAGTTCGAAGGAGACGTCCAATTGCCATGGTGAAGATGTACCTTGCTCCCAACCCAAGGCCAGGACCTTGTACAGAATCGAACAGGACAGAGAATCCCAGCATTATGAACAACATTAGGAAATGATGCAGCCCTACGATTCTGGCTCTCAGTAGCTCAACCCATGGTTTGGGTAGTTGCTCATTCAACCAAAGAAGGAACCACTGTCCCGGGTCAGGCAGAGGAGGCGTTTGGCTGTCAGATACAAACGGAGCCAATCAGTCCCATCTAAGAGCATAAGCTTAAGGAAGTAAGTGACCCTTGGCTCAAATTTGCTTCTTGACAATGACTTGGCAGAGAAGAAGGATTCTATATCCAAACAAGGCGACCTACTGTAATTAGGTTCTCAAACTTAATGTACATACAGGTTGTACAGCAATACGAAATTTACTTTATTCCTTGACATCTATCATTCATATCCAGGAGCCATAAAAAGGAAGAAGACTGAAACTTACAGAAAAGCCACAGTTTTGGAGATGTTTTTCCAGAAGGGTAAAGTAAACAGCAGGGCCACACACACAATGGCCCTGGTTAAATGCATGTAAGAGGCAGAGAGACTTAGATCTCCCACTGCAATAGCAAATCTTCATCATCTTGTAGTCAGAAAACAAAAAAACTGATCCCAAAGAGGAAACTTTACCGCTATCTGGGAGAGGTGAAAAAAAAAGAATATGGAAACCGTACTTAACCCATTTTAATTGGCCGGAAATCTGAACTAATTAAGCACAACCCATTCCGAAAACGAGCAGAAAATTTCCAAAAATGGAATTTGAAAAGTCGATTCACTTCTAAAATATAATGAGTTCACATCTGGGTCAGTTCATAATTCAGAAAAAGGCCAAAGTGAAGCAACTAGCTATTAGCGAGCTAGAAATTTAGTTACCTTCTACCAAAAAATAAATAGAAGAAGAAGAAGAAGAAGAAGAAGAAGAAATTTAGTTACCGGTGCCAATCGAGGCCGAGGGCGGCGGTCACGGAGCGAACAGAGAGGGCTTCGAAGAGGAGGCAAGCGAGAAGGAAGAGCACCGAAGCTACAAAAGGAACGACGGCTCGGAACTCGGCGACCCAGTGTTTGTAGAAGGGGACCCGCGAGAAGGCGATTACGATAAGCAGCAACCAGAGGACAGGCTGAAGTCTGTCGTGCCAAGTCGGGGAAATATGGCGGAGATAATCTACTGCTACATAGGAAATAGCAGCGATTCCTAAGCCACCGCCGACGGAGGATCTGGGCGCCGGCCACAGCCTCATGGTTGACGGGGTGTTGGACTTGCTTGTGAGACTTGGGGTCTTCTTTCTTGCCACTTCAAGTGCGGGGAGCGTTGTCGTGTAATAAAACTGGAAATGGGTAGCTTTTATGTTGGCTGCTTTTAAGACTAGATTATAAAACCAGACATGAAAACTATTCCCATCATACGATGCAACGGGATGGGGGAAAATAATTAGAATTATTAAAGTGCAAGTTCCCACAAATTCGGAACACTCCTCTTCAAGAAAAAATCGGGATTATTGTGTTAATGTATGTGACGATGGTTATATATGTAAATACGTATTATAGAAGTAGACCTAGGGTTGGCCGAATAGAACCCTATATATATATGTATGTTGGGCCATCCTAGGGGGTGACAATTTTCGGTGATAATATTATTGACCGAGAGCCGGCCGCTCTCCGTGGACTAGTCATGTTCATCACGAACAGGGAAACCACGTAAATCCTATGTGTACTGTCTCTTTTACATGATTTTCGTGGTTTGATTGACATGATATCAGAGTCGTCATAATCTGTGTCTGGGAATTCTTCGCTCCTGGCTCGTTCTCCGTCCGTGGCTTCTTGCGGCGCTGGTTTATTTCTTGTGCCCTACTTTCTTGTGGCGTTTATTATTTTGGTCACCGTTTTATTTCCGCGTCTATTGATGACTCTCCTTTCTTCCTATATTTGTGTGGTTGTGCATCAGGTATTCTGCTTTCTCCCGTGGATCTTATTATTAGCTACTACAACCCATATTTCATTTGCATGCGTTCATCATGGATCTCGACCGCAGCGATGTCGTGGGTGAGAAATTGAACGACTCAAATTATTATCTCTGGGCACTTCAGTTCAGCACCTACGCTGAGGGCAAGAGCTTGCTCGATATTCTCTTGGGCGAAACTGCGTGCCCTACTCAGCCTACTGCTACTTCGGAAAGTATTGCTACTTGGCGTAGCAACAATGCTAGGCTCAAAGGTTAGATTCTTCGATCAATGGACCCTGTTGTCGCTCTTACTCTTCGATCGTTTGCTACTGCGGCTGAGATGTGGGCTCACCTGCGTGATTCATATGCCCAGGTTCATCCTTCTCGACAATTTGAAGTGGAATTTCAGCTCTCCTTACTTGCTCAAGGAGACAAATCTATTGCGCCCTACTATCGTGCGGCAACAAATTTATGGATCGAGGCTGACTTGATGATTGCCTCTTCTCTTACTCAGTCGATGTCCGCCGAGGTCAAAGCTGTACAAAAACGACAGCTTATGATGCAATTCTTGTCTAAGCTACGTCCCGAGTTTGAGCCAATTCGAGCTACTCTACTCTCTCGGAACATTGCTACTCTTGAAGCTGCTCTTCCACAGTTACAACGGGAAGAACGTCTTCTCACTACTCAAGCTCATGTTGACAGTCACCTTCATGATGCTAACGCAACCTTTGCTGCTTCGCCTGGCCGCCGCGAGTCTTCTTATCCACCTCCTAGCCATATTCAACCTCATTGTCGTGTTCGTAACCTGTGCATCTACTATAAGCGCACGGGTCATATTATCCTCGACTGCCCTCGCTTGAAAAATAGCATCCTCGCCCATCTGGTCCTACTGGTCATGCTTATGCTGCTGCTCTTGGTGATCCCGTTACTCGCCCTCCGCCTCAGGCCACTCCTGCTCCTCCTGCTGTCATTCCCGGGGTCTCTTCTGAGACGTTGGATGTTGCGCTTGCTCAAACTCTCTAGCGTATCCTTCCCACCGCATTGAATGTGGCCTTCTCTACTGCTCCGAACCAAGGTAACAATAAATGGCTTTTGGATTCTGCCACATTCAATCATATGACCCACCTTCGGCATATGTTCTCTCATATACGCCCAGTTGACAAGCTGTCTCTCCAAGTGGCTAATGGCCATCATCTTCCGGTATCTGGTGTTGGGACTTGTCATGGGTCTAAACTTACTTTGGATAATTGACACGCCAAAACACAACACCAAACTGCGACCAAGTGTAATCGCAGTCCGGGAATGCAGTAACAGGCAAGTTAGATTATCAACCCGGGGTCTAGATCTACTGCTTACTCCGTGATTCTCTATTATCTAGCAATCTAATTCGAGTGATTGTTGTTTAAAAGCAAAAGCAGTAAGAATGCAGTAAACTGTTCGGTTTTCTAAAGCAGGTAAGAGTCACTCGGGAATGAGCCCCCCTAGCCCCTTAGTTAGGTTCAATTGTAATTCCCCTGGGTTGATTTACTGTTGATTAGACTGCGGAAGATCCGACAGTAGCTTGGAATCTCTTAAGCTGACCAAGCCCTCTCAGCCTAACTATCCGGCAGATGACTAGTCTTCACCGGGATAGAAAGCTGAAGCAAGAAGCACAGAACTCCACTACTGGAATTGAATTCCAGTACAAAGCAGTAAACTGGCTAACTCTCGTATAGCCAATCTCCTACTATCGAATGAAGAGGCTCTAACAACCTAATCAGATTCTATCTATCTCAGGTTGCAGCAGAAATTGAGAAATGCTGATCAGACTCAAATCAATTCAATAAACATGCATCATTCGATTAAAATCAAACAGTAATATCATCCCAAGTCATTACAATCAAATCCCTAACACAAGGAACTAGGGTTCTTCATACCCAAGTGAGAGAAAGGTTCTACTCCATAGAGAGAGAAAGGAAAACAGAAATCAGAGTAGTCATACTCATAAAGATGAGGAAAATCTGCTCTGGGATGTCAATCTTCACTCATAGGGATGCAATCTGGGCTTCAATGATGAGAAATCCACTCCAAAATAGCTCCTAGGGTTTGTTCTTTGCTCTTTCTCTCTCTAAAACTCTGTTTTTGCTCCAGAAAATCGAATACCTCTTCCTTGGCTCGAATCTGCCTCCAAAAACCCGACTCTGGGCGAATTACGGGCAGAATTACGGCCGTAATCACGTCCTGCCCGTAATTCGCACCAAAACGCACGTTTCACTTAAGCTGCAGGAGGAGGAGATACGCCCGTAATTTCCCAATTACCGCCAGTAATTTGGGAATTACGGTCGTAATTCTTGGGGGTCTTGCCCGTAATTTTATCACCGAGAGGAAATTCTGGGGAGAAGGCTCGGCCATTAATTTACGGGCATGCCCTGGCCAATTACGGTCGTAATTTGGCAGAGGCTGCCCGTAATTCTATCCGTGATTCGCCATCTGACCTCCAAATGACCCGAAACTTGCGCCTATGCACCTCTTTACTTGCTAGGACCTGAAATACGACAAAACAACACAACGTAGCGTAAAATAGGCCAAGGAACAATCAATTCGAGCCAAAATGGGCAGGAAACCAGAGTGAAAACACGTGCAAATACGATGCTATCAAATTCTCCCACACTTAACTGTTTGCTTGTCCCCAAGCAAACCAAGTACTACACAAGGTAAGCTCACATATTTCAGTCAACCAACATCGGGGACAAGTCATAAAGGCACAGAACACATGAATCATACTGGTTTTCAAACATCAACACATGAACAACTTTAATAGCAACCTAGACAACCACCACAAAGGACATTCGAGTGCAGCAAAATCGAGCAACAGAAGAGTTTCCCTTCTGTTCACCAACCAACCCAGACTTGACTCGACCACTCACTCAAAACAGTTAACTCATGCATCCAACTCAAGACATCAGAACAGAGACCGAGCAATCTAGGTCCTCACTAGGGTACAAGAGTATAGAGAATATGAAAATGAATCACTCACTCTCGACCAGTGGGGTCAGGACAATTTTAATGCGAAAAATGCGCATGCTATTTCTCTCAATCCCTAACATCTCTTCACCATGATGGCAGCCTCTATTTGGTAGAGTTCACATGCATAATGTCATCACTAACTAATCAGGAGGTCTTAGACACAGGTTCAAATGACTTGCTAGGGTCTTGGACATGGGGAAAAGGCCTTTTAGGTGGTGGAAGTATTCATAGCATAAGGTTCCACATTTCCAAACCCACACAATCACAGTCAAACAAACCGGTATTCCCTTTATGCTATTCTACAATACTCAACATCTCAAGAGCACAAAAGCGAAGGAGGTATAAACATCAGCATTTCCAAGCCAGACTGCTAAGAAACACTACTTAATGGGCATTATTCAGATTTTTGGTAGTGGCTCTCTTTTGCTTTCAATTTTTCTTTGTTTTTCTTTCATTTTTCTTAAGAGAGCCACCACTTCTGCACATATTTCAAACATCTGCCCAACTTTTAAGCACTACCTCCAACACTCACATAAACTTTAGCAGAAACAGCAGAGAATATGTAACAACCACTCTGTGGAACCTTCTAAAAGATGCAACAAGGGTGATTTTTTTCGTTATAGACCAAAAGAAAGGATAACACACGACTCAAAGGGGCTGACTAGGGGCTATGACACATCAGGGCAGTCAGTTTTGGGCGTGGGCTAATCCTATGCCCCCATCATCTTAGTTAATGACAACGTGAATGCTACACATCATGGAAGAGGGATCTATCGCACAAGAAAGAAACGAGCAGGCTCAAATCTCACATGGCTACCTATATGCTCTATCTCACATTCTGATACCCTGAACTAGATGCATAAACGACTGTCAAGAACAAGTGATCAGATCAAGTCAGAGTTGGTAAGCAAACAGTTGAAAAAACTTAACCCCTACATCGTTCTACTGCACATCTCAGTCCTCATTATAGGTTGTCCTAGTCGCAAACAAGTTGTCATGCATTAATCCGAAAACCAATCAATTCATCCATCAAAACACAGTGCCAATATGATCAAACAGCAGTACTTGGAGCCCTCAAATCGTAAGATTCAGACAGCGGACTAGGCTCCAAGCACACCTCCAAGCACACAGATATATATTCCAACCGATACAAAGCACCCCCCCACACTTAAGCACGACATTGCCCTCAATGGAGTAGAGGGAAAGATAAGGGGAACGATGTTACCGGATTGAAACACTGCTGGGGGACTGGAAGTGAACCAGTCAGCGAGCTAGCATCAGCAAAACACACTAGGTGATAGAAACCATAGTTCCAAGTGGACAAACCGACAAAAACAAACGAAAGAAAAACAAACCTTGCTGGGGTTGCCTCCCCACAAGCGCTTCTTTACCGTCTTTTAGCTGGACGCCAGTATGGA